AATTAGGTCGATACAATGTCTATTTTTATCATTTATATTTACGAATGAATAAAAAACGATTATGTTTTTGTTATATTTGCTTAATCCGTTGGGATTTTGTCTTTTATGCAATACAGTTTCGATGATAAGAAAAAGCTTAGTCGATCAAGTATTTAGTATAAGAAAACTTAATGTTATTCCAAGATACACGTTATATAAAGATAGCCTGTAATGCGTCGGTGTCTGTCATTTGTTACTGTATATTATGTTTGTTTTTTCGTTCGTTGTTTTGTACATAATCGGTCATCTCATTTGATTTGTTTTTTCATTTAATTTTGTCAGGGCCTTTCATAGCTTGCTATGCGGTATGGGTTTTGCTCACTGTTGAAGGCCGTACGGCAACCTATAGTTGCTGACATCTATGTCATTTGGATTCGGTGGATATTTGTCTCATTGGAAATCATACTGCATCTACTTATTATATATTAATATTTAATTTCTTAGGTCCTTTTTTTTTGTTATTCCAAAAAGAAACAATTTTTAAAGAAAATTACCATTGAAACAAATTAATAAATTATCCTCGTGATTTCTGTATTTATGCGTATTCTATAACGCTAATATCTTATATCAAATTTACTGTTAACGGTGTATTTTTTAGAGCCTTTTTTTCGCGAGTAAAAAATCAAGGTAATATGTAAAACTTTGATCTGTTCGTATATGAAAAAACAACATTAGAAAATGGCGAAATATTGTTAAACGCAAAAAAAACAACAAAAAAACGTATCCACGAAAATAAGATTTTGTTTTACAATATTCCAATAGTTGTGTTATGAATGTTTACTTTCATCGTTACTTTTCCTTCATACACAATAAAAATCACAGAACTGAACCATGTCGAACATGAACTAAACCATGACCTGACTGAACAAAATCATGACACTGAATTGTTAGCCATCTTAAATTATGTGCAAAAGAAGCTATTTTTCGGAAAAAATTACGGCTATTGTACATTATAACGAAATATGTGACAGGAATCAATTTTTTTTAATTGCTGATAAACGAGAAAGCCAATTTTTACATACGCAAACATTAATCTGTGTCAAATAAGTATATGATACAAATTTGAATAAACTAACATACTAGCTATAAATAAAAGATATTATCCCGTTTGAATTCCTGTTCAGAGATTCTGTTAGCCAAAATTCAGAAAATTTATATTGTGTCATTGTTTGTCATTAAAAACCCTGAACACAATCATGTCCAACGTAACCAAACTATGACAAAATCAATGTACTAAACGCCTCTTGATATGACGACGTTAACGTTACTATCCGTACAAAGAAAAAGACATGAAATTATTAGAATTAGATGACCGATACGATGTACCGGTGACTCATCTCATAACGAAATGTTTTTACGGTGTTAGATCTTTAGACACCACAATAATCGTTTTGTCTGTTAATTTACGGATTGTCTTTTATTTTCTATTGTGGTTTGTTTGACTGAATACAGATTAGCATATCGACTGTTGCATGCATTGCAGAAGATGTTTAGTATATCGGTGCATTATGCATCGCTCTGTTTGAATGTCATACTATTCCCTTAGTGTTTGCTTTTTGTCTTTATTTATTATAATATTTGGAATGGACCTGCGAGATTTCGGCATCGGAGACGTCTAAATGCGCCGGGTTTGACCGTCGAAAATATTTGTAGACAATTTTTCTTAGCTTTAGGATGGAAAAGAACTTTAATTTTCGTAAAGAACGATAGTTTCTAAATCAATTTTTTTCCTATTAGCAGTTTATATTGTTAAATTGAGGTTACGTTCCTTTTGTTTTTGTTATTCCCACTTTGTTCCGATTCATAAGTATATTTCTTTAATTGGACAACAAGATGAAGATTAATGTTTTTGCCTTAAACTGTTGTTTTCATTCACATTTCAGTGATACCTTTGAGTTAAGTCCATATACAAATATTAAGACTACAGTAATGTCATAATGAAATATCCATTCATTTAAAGAATTATTAATTATTTATTATCATATGCATTACATGCATTACATGTTATAACTGTTTGTAAGCCTAGCAGAATGTTGTAGCAATAACAACCTATTTTTAATCGCAGTGTATTTATGTGGAAATAAAACACTATTGGAACATTTTGAAAAATCAAAAAAATGTATACATTTATTATTATGTTTTGTTATATAATTTCATGAAATGTTTTATCTGGTTCCTGTATTTTTTTTCAATTATTGTTTCAGTGATAGCTACAAGTGAAGTCAATATCAATGGTAACATAACAGCAAAAGCATACAGTAATGGCATCAGTTTGAAATGTTCATTCACCCTAGAAAACGGGGATAATATAATTGCGATTGGATTAACAGCACAAAATGGTTCACCGGATAACTTTGATGCTATAGCAGGATTTAGTATCAATACTAAACTACAATTTACATCCTTCGGAATGGATTTATTTGGAAATGAAACAACCTTTATAAAATTTGAGAAGACTCAAAAAGCTTTTATGCTTTCGTTCAACAATCTAACATGTAGACACGAACGCCAATATAAATGTTTCCTGTATTATGTTGCATCAAGTTCTTTCTCACCAATGTTGATTAAGTCAGATACCATGTGGATTTCTGTAATAGGTAATTGTAGCAAAATAGGTGGTTGTGTTTAACTTTAAAACTTGGCACAATGTATCATTATTCTTATTATGTATTACTTTTGTTAACTTTCGCAATGTTGTTATGTACTGTTTTTTGGTACTTTGAAAATTGCTGGTGCCTTGATTTACATTCGTTGCAATGAAAGGTTTGGTTTGGTGGTTTCTCATGAAGGTAAATCACGAAAATAGCGTCGTATGCACGATCTTTATATAAAGTGATATTTTTATTCAATGATATATGTTCCATGTTTATATTCATATTTCTTTTAAAGTAAAACAAATTAAGTTTTGGTTTATTAAATACTTGAAAAGTAACAAACTTTTTCGAAATCATCATTGATTAAATTTGGTAACGCTTAACTGTTTCTGTTGTGTCTTTGTTCTCCTCTTATATTTGATGTGTTTCCCTCAGTTTTAGTTTGTAACCCAGATTTGTTTTTTCTCAATCGATTTATGAATTTCGAACAGCGGTATACTACTGTTGCCTTTATTTAACTTTTTGTCCCATTTTGTATATCAGCTCTCAAAGGGGCATTAGCTGTCAAATTTATGTTCACCGATTTGACTCAAATTCTTATATTTGATTTATAATATACTAAAACGTATATGCAAATTATAAAAAGTCTAAAATAATCAATAAGCAATGCATTGACTTGATAATATAAATCATGATTTTGTGTGTATTTTAGTCTAGACGACATCTTATGAACTATCGAGATGACCTCCGACGACTACCGACGGTCATATGACCCGATATAAACATAAATAGAAATAGAAAGCAACCATGTGCAAATGGATTTTGTAGGTCTGTTTGATTTCATACTATAGGTGAAGAAATTTATCAATCATCGTTTTAATCTACATAAGAATGACTTTTTGTGATTCAAATAATTCAATCCCATGGTTCACCTTTTTTTCACATTCAATGTTGACATTCTTTTACTTTTAATAGCTGAACACGCCTAATCCATGCGTAATATATCGCCAGCTTAGGGCTTAAATTGAGATTGACATGAATACGGATTCAAATGAAGTCGAATTATTCACTTGCAAGTCAATAATACATGAGCGATGTTGGAGAGCTTATTTTGACAAATTTGGGTCAAATTAACTGCTTATAAGGAAATATTATTTCAAATTTCGCTTTTATTATTACTTGAAACAAAACGAATCGTATTTTAAATTTGAAGACCCCTTTATTTCGAAATAGTCTTCTGCTGCTATAAAATTGGTAACGTTTTTGTTTTTGAACGATTGGACGAAGTTTGAAAGAATGTGCAAAATAATGTCATGAACAGTTTGAACTATATATTGATTAACAAAGAAAAATGTCAACAAAAGTATAGTGTTTCACCATGTTCATGTAAAAATAGTTTTCTTAAGAAAGTATTTGCTACGATAAATTCAAGAAAATAAACAAAAACAAAGTATATATCTGTGTTGTTTTTTTTCAAAAATTGAAAAACCTAAATTTGTATTCGATACAAGCAGCATGTTTGATTCAATCTTATAAAATAAACATAAAAGCCAACTGCATATATTATTGTGTTGTAAGACAATAATAAGATGCATGCGAACTTTGATTTGATCCCTTGTAAGAGATGGTTAGCGCAAGTGTTCTGCAGGATCAATTATTAAAACAGAAGAATATCAGTATTGTGAATTAAAAAAGGGATATACTAGTGTTTCTAAATGTATGACATGATTTCAAACAGATCTAAACATATCGTCATTATGCTATTACACTTACTTGTTAGTCTATTCATATTATTTCTGTGTTTAAATCGGTTCTTCGGAGGTCATCACGATGGTTAATTCAAATGTCTAGCCTTTGATTCCGCACAAAATGCTGATACTTTATTACAATTTCATGCATCATTTATTGTTTCATATGGAACATTTGTAATGTTGTTAAATACTTTAGTATATTATGAATCAAATTGTCCCTAACTATAATTTGTTTAATATACTGCTTTTCAAATCACCAACGTGTTTCTACCCCTACAAATGTATAGGTATAGGTGGTCTTATCCGTTTGTGTTTGGTAACACATTTTGTATATTTTGTTTAATTTTCTGTACTCTTTAAATTATATAATGAAATGGTCTTTGGACTTTTTTTTTATTTGAGCGTCAGTGATTAGTATCCGGTATACGAAACACGCATTTGCGTTACACAATTGTAAGCATGGTATCACTGGTGATATTCCTAAAAGAAACCCTGATTGGAAGACATGGTTGCGTAAGCAGTTTTATGTTAAAACCATCATTCAGATAAAAAGAAAATTAAGCGTCAAGAACGATAAATCAATTAATAGTCCATATATTCGTTTTATTGTAGTCCTTCCTTCAAAACCTGAAATACATTTGCCACTGAAAGTAAATGACTTCACAAGTGCAAAACGAAATACACGATCAGCAACACTGGCGCCAAAAACCGGTACTCATGAAAGGGATTTCATTGAAGGCGACAATATAACATTTATGTGTAAAGGAGATGTTGGGAGGCCCGAGGGAATATTTTTGTGGCAGAAAATTTTCTCCGGTGATGAAACATTTAGTTACTCAAACATATCAACTGACACAATACCCGAGTCTTGTTCCTATGACGGAAATAGCACCTTAACGATTCAGGTGACTAGTGATGACAATCAGGCAAGAATAAGATGTATTGTCAAATCTGAGTTACCAAATGGGACCAGGCATGTAGATTCAGAACCACTTCTGATTCACTGTAAATATAATTTGTGTTATGGCTTTGAAAAATCAATGATAAATCTATAGTAATCGTTTTAAGGATCATTGACTTATTCTTACGAGGAAGCTCCGAGCTTTTTAAGTAGGCTCCTCTCAGCATTTTACAATGTTTTATGTGAAAATAAGTATCATAATCCATTAGAATGTCAATCAAATATATAGCACTTCTATAACAAGGAAAGTAAAGCATTATAGAGGAATCTCAATTAACACATGTGTAAACATCTGGTCTATTGAAATACAGCTTCCATGAAATCTTACAAATCTATAAAATAGATTAGAAATTATAAGTACTGTGTAATGCTTGGAAAGAAATATCAAGTCACCACAAAAAGTAAATGTCGTTATAACATTTTCTTATTAATAATCATTCTTTTTTAATGCAAAAAACAAAAAATACTCACACAAATTTTATATTTGAATATTATGAATATAGCTTATATTTATACTATATAAAATGATTCATAAAAGTCATCAAAGACATAAACTATGGTAATTGATTTATAATCATTTGTTAAACTTTATCTACAATAGCAAACTTAGTTCTTTAATAGAAAATGATGGCCACTTTGGGAAAAGTTGTAATTCATAATTGGGAGTTTAGGTTGAAAGACCTTTCACAATATTAATATATACAAATGATATAATAGTTATAATACATTTTCAACAATTCTGAATATCTTTTTCTTGAATAACTTTTTTTATTTTGTTTTTATAATAAATAAACGGATTTAGTGGACTAAAAACTTTATAACAAACATTTATACTTTGAACTGGAATACCTTTTGTCTATGCAAATACAACTTCTTTTTTCTCAAAATACTTTATATATGATATCAACAGGAAAGTATTGAGAAGATTTTTTTTTATACTGTTTATGTTTCTAAAATTATACACATATTAAATAGAATTAATAAGAAATTATGAGCTTTATAATTGAGCTCCAATATAATTTCTTATTAATTTTTTTATTGACTTTCCTTTTTTTTCATAGCTACAAAATAACTTTGAAAAGTGCATTAAAAATAATTCAACTGCCCAGACTAACTACCATTGCCATGATTAATACCATACTTTTTCAATTCAAATTCTAGTTCTTCAATACACATTGATTTGTATAAAAATATCAACTTGCTTTTTAAACTATCTCTTTTAAGCTTAATCAAAATGCAGAAAGTCATAATTTCATTTGATACCCTGAAGTATAAAGGCAAGATTTCCATTTCATATGAACTTCCTTTTTTCTATTTATAAATGTGAACAGAAGAGCAAAATATCTTTAAAATGAGGAGTCATTTATAAAATCTATTCTTCTGTCTGCTTGAAATTTTCTAAATTTAGAATTTTGATGTATTACTCTAAAGCTTTACGTCAATTGAAAACCAGTTAAACACATACCGTTATTTTATACTATATATTAAAACTACGTTTAAAAATTCTTGTAATGATCTGTTTCCAGTAAGGAACAAGGCAATTTAGAAGTTTAAGTGTTTGAGGAGAACAGGCAATTTTCTAAAACAATAACTAGTTTAAATCTTATAGAAAAAAAAGCTGTTTATATATTTATATATTAAGGATCTGTTTTATATTTATAAAATGTTTTGATGAAGACTTTCTATATACAGTTGTTAACTGAGCTTCCTCTACATTGCTATACTTTCCTTTTGATAGGAAATGTTTAGATGTATTGAAAAGTGATTCAACAAAAAAAAAAAAAAATAGAGGATTGCTGAACTAAAATCCCTGAATTTTACTCTATTATATGAAAATAATACCACCAAAACATATTACATCCAGTTTCATGGGAAAAAGGGTTGATTTGTTTTTAAATATACCCTTTAATTTGACAGTTGTTGGAAATTAAAGGGTATATCTAATTGCAGAAAAGTTTTTCGGGTCGTTGATATGTATAGTGGGTGTTTCAAAGCAATATGATTTTTTTATTTGGTGTTTTTATAAAATATTCTGGACAGAATGTAAACAAGGAAAACAGGGGAGGGGGGATTTGTGATTGGTTAACTTTTGTTGATTTTTACTATCTTATATACATTGAACAGTAATGTTGTATTTTCACTGAAGTACTGTCAGGGTAAAACTTGACTCATGCCAAATAGTTATTTATATGAAACAAAGATAGATTCTGCACAATTTAAAAATAAATGTAAATTTCGACGTAATAGGGGAAAACAATGGTCGTATTACCCCTCAAAGCAGCTGCATTCTAATAATGAATTACAACTTTTCCTAATGTAGCCATAATTTTCTATAAAAGAACTAAGTTTGCTATTTTATAACAAAAAATATTACCCTTGTTCATTTAGGGGCATTACTTAAACAAGTAATTTTCAAAATTACCTATACAAGTTATGTTGAAAACGATGCTATTTTAAATAGTACTCCTATATCATGTGTAAGTAACTTTTGTTAATATTATTTGTAGAGGTGTCCATTCATACAGATTTTACTAGCTTTAACAAAATTCCACATACATCTGATTCTTTTTCCCATGAAATATAAAACTAATCTTCCTGTCACACTAATTGCCTTTCTGGTGCAAGGCTTCTGGGTCAAGGATTGTTCTCTTGGGACTATCAAAATATCATTTTCCCTGAAAATCTTAAAAGTAGACAGGTATAAATATATGGAACCCTGTGAATTAATTAAAACTTGATGTTATTTATAATTTGTAACCTTAAATAATTACATATTATGTTCCTTAAATAATTGCAAGTACTAAGTTTTTCAAAGATGTATAAAATAACTTATAAAAGTAATATTTTTGTCATAATTTTTTAAAGTAACCTTTTTTCCCTATACAAGTCTAAAATTTTATTAATTCTTAATTCTATTAAACAAAATGATATGAGAAAAAACAAAAAATACCAATATTAGTAACTAAAAAAAAATACTTGTAAAGTAAAACCCCTGACTGTTGTTTGTGTCTTGATGACTTGTATGTAGCATACTATATAGTATAAACTATATCTAAATTATATTACATTTATCTTCATTGTAGTTATAAAATTTCAGTTTTTTTTTGTATTATTCAAAAAGAATGATTATCAAAAATTATAAGAAAATATTTTAATGACATTTACTTTTTGTGGAGATTCATTCAAATTCTAAGCAGTACACAGTGCTGCTGAAGAATTTCTTATTTATTTTATAGTTTTGTATAATTATTCAAGCTGTATTTGAATAGACCAGATGTTTACACAGGTGTTAATTGAGCTTCCTCTATAATGCTTTACTTTCCTTGTTATAGAAGTGCTATAGATTTGATTGACATCTTAATGGATCATTATCATCATTGTCACATAAACTGCTTAATAAGCTCGGAGCATCCATCAAGCATGATCGGTTCTTCCTCGTAAGAATAAATCTATGATCCCTTAACGCTTTTGTGCCTTTATCATTTTACACGTGAACTTTTCAATATTTAATCTTTTAAAACATTTTTTAGTGAATACAAGCTATCAAAATAAATAGGAAGTTTATAAACTTGGAGTAGAAATATTTGCGAACGGGAAGATCAAATATATAATGTTATCAACTACATTGTTTTGCCCCGCTACTATAGTTCGCTTCGAACGCATTAAATTTATAACTTGTTATTGTCATTTTGTTTCTCAAAGGTAAAACCATCGAAAACATGATATATAATAACAAGCATTTTTTCGAATATATTTTAATTTGCAGTTAAAGTGAGGAGGCCATTTATAACATTGCTTCCAAACAAAACTGTCTTTCAGGAGGGGGATTCAGTTCAACTAAATTGCAAAGCCCACGGAAACCCAAATCCTTCGTATTCATGGACTTCAGGCAATAGCAGCGGAGACATATTCGTTGACAATGACACCCTAGTAATCATTAAAGCAAACATTTCTGATAGCGGTTTATATACATGTGACACCAGAAATTCCGTCTTTGGCACCGATTACTCAGAATCTATATCAACTTACATAAACATAGGTAAGAATAGATGAATATAAGTTGCTGAAATAGACATACTTAACCATAGTACAAAAATCCAAATTCAATGAAAAGAACAGACTGGACATAAATGTATTAATTGAGGGCACAGATAAAAATATTGCTCGCCTTTCCAAAACTCTATATATTAATAAAAAAAACTGATTTTTTAAGGTATACAAATACAGCATGGGCAAAGTCTAAATTACAATACATTGAATACTGAAAAGACATCTATGATGGTTTTTAATTATACATTAGAATACTGGCAAAAGTATGAAGTGTCTTAAAAGCAACTGATATCAATAATAATTGATATAAAATTATTGCTTCTCGCTTGCTTCTTTTACTGAATAGCATAATTTTACTATTGATTTTATGTAACCAACATTGGCAATTAGAAATAAAACTGATTGCTGATTATACGTCTGCATTATATCATTTAAAAAATAAATTAACAAAACATAACGAACTCCACCATTCTCCAACATGTGTTCAAGGCAAAGTCGTAAAGGGGAAGTCCATAAATCATAACAAAAACCAAACGCTCGACTGCTTACTCCTGAGCCTTATATATTTTATTAGGTATCTCCTTCAACTTGAAATATAAGTACGATTTTCTGTTGGTACTTGATAAATGTTATGTGTTCCATATGTCACTTGTAGACATTTGCTATGGTGTTTAGCTCATCTGACCCAAAGGATAAAGTGAGCTATTTTCATCACCTGGCGTTCGTTGCATACCTGTCAATCTATGAAAATAAAAATGCAGTTCATGACCTGCATTAAAGAAGGAAATATCAGGTCTTAACGCGTACGAACCTTTTTTTGAAAAAATTGAAGAATTTAGGGGACATTTTTTTTAATATTCTAAATCGAACAGTTTGCAAAACATGTTAACATGGTTAAGTATTAACCGAAAATAATTTACAACTTTAATTTCATTTTACATTACATGTATATGCCATTGAAGTATTAATGTATATTAGCAACTAGGGAACATTTTGTTTTATATTTTGAAAAATCGATCAGTTTACAAAACGTTTTACATGGTTAAGTATTAACTGAAAATAATTTACAACTTAAATTTTATTTTACATTGCATTTATAAGCCATTAATGTATATTACTATATTAATTAAAGGCATACCCCCTCTTCATCATTTATTCAATTCACAAGTCACAAGGTTCACACATGAAACAAAATGTTCAGCTGTATTCAATCATAGAAGTTAATATTTTGGAATATGATAAACATAAAGCATTTTAAGGAAGAAGAAATGAAAAAAATAATTTTCAAATATTAATTTTTTAATTGTCCTAAGGTAGAAAATAAAAGAAAGTAATATTTTGATATGTATTTGCATTCAATTTGCTATAGATTTAATCTTATAACAATGAAAAAAAAATTAAAGAGGTATATTGTGAAAGGTCACAAAAAAGGGGAAGTAACTCAATTATTTTGTTAAACATCTTTGAAATACACAAATTATTTATAAAATTAAGCTAAGGTAATTGGTGTAATTAACAAGGTGTCTGACACCAAAGCTGTCAAGTGAAGCCATGCACTTAATGAATCACTTAATTTGACAGTTAACACAGCTAGTTGAACTTCCTGTCCAGGAAGAATTACGCATTTGAAAGAATTTCAAAGGAAAGTTACTTATGAAATCAATCTAAAGGCTCAAGAATCCGGGTGAAAACGGGTAATTTTCCGAATTCCATGATAACTTAACGACCCAGCGGGTATTTTATAAACCCGGGTGGGTGAAATTTAAGGGTGACGCAGGATACGGGTCAGTTGATAGGTATGCCGTCGTCCTTTGAACGTCATCGTCAGTTTTCGTCGTCGTTGTTTAAATTTTACAAAAATCCTCTCCTCCAACATTAATTGGCCAATGCGAACCAAACTCGCCCTTTAAAGTCATAATGAAACATAGTTTAATCTAAAAGAAATGAATGTGAACTTTTTTTTCGAAAAAAATCCTTTATATTATCAAAATCTTCTTAAATGTACCGTTATTGAATTATTTACTCCCCAGACACTAATTCGCCGATATTTTCCCGTATGCAGTGACCTCAACTACGAGACCTCTCGTTATAACTTTGGCCACCGCACAGTGCAAGTGCGAGGGGAAAATCGTGATGAAAGAATGTAAACACACGTGTTCTTGAAGGTCAATAGAAATAACAGGTTCTTAAAGACCAAATTTAATACAACAACTCATGTAACAACTGTCAAGGAAAAGTTAAATGAACAAATGAGAACGCATGAAAATATAAAAACAAATGTCATTGCTCTTTCAATTCACTTATTCGTTGCGCTTTCCACGTGCTCTGTTTTTATTGTTTATCAATATCACGATCCCGTAAACTTCGGCAACAAACTCTAACGTTGATTACCTTGCGATCAACAACTACTGAATGAAATATTATTTGTCGATAATACGTTATAGATGTGTAATAAATGTACAAAAACGTGCATGCAAGACTTAGTTTAGTATATACATGTATGCATGCAATAATTTCGATAATATTAGAATTTCAAGAAAGGCGTTTCATATGACTTTAATGACGATTTGTGTCATTTTTTCAATGTTGCCTATTATCTTGAAATCTATAATAGATAGATAGAAACTTTGAGTAGCAGAAATGATCAGTGAGACAACATCTACAAATATGCTATATGAGTAAAATCTTCAGACGACTTCTTAAAGAATTTTGTTGCTCTTACATGATCATTGTGAATCATTGTTTGCGTTTGAGCCTATTATCTTAATAATCAATAATAACTAGTGGGAATTTAACTAGCACAAATAATCAGTAATACAAAATCAAAAATAAGCCAACATGACTGAACTTGTTAGACGACTCCTTATATGATTTATTCCCCTTAAACATGTTAAATGTCAAAATTCATCAATAGTTTGCGTTTTCCTCTTAATCTGGAAAACTTGAATTGATTGAGAGATAACTTAATGACAAAACATTATCACCACGAGAAGACCAACAAAGAAGTCAACATGACTGAAATCGTCATACGAATCTTTATAGCAATTATTGTCTAAAATGGCGATTTTTATACATTGTTTGCGTTATTTGCCTTTTATCTTAAAAATCCAAATGGATAGAGAGAAACAAAAACAGCAACAGAAATCTACAAGACCAGCTCTACAAATAAGTCAACTTGCCTTAAATCGGCTGACGACTCTGTAAAGGAGCACTAGTAGTTGCCTTTAAATGACCAGTTTAACCCTGTTGTTCCTAATTTTTCAATTTTCTAGAAAAGTAAAATATATACAGAAAAACCTTCAAAACAAAAATGATCAGCAAGACAGGATCTACAATTAGCTCAACTAATGTTAAAATTGTCAGTTAACTTCTTATAGTTGTAACTTACTGCCCTTTAATTTGATAATAATTTTACTCATTTTTGTGTTTTTTGGGAATTACTAAAGCAAATAGATATACACTGAAAGTGAAATATTCAGAAAAAACGATCAGCAATACAAGATCAACGAAAGAGAAATTTAAGTCGTGAATCATATAAAAGTCTACACTTTGAGTTGATGAGTGGCCATTTGTGAAGATGCACTTAGATCTAGATTAGTAAAACCAGTTCTTTGAGCCTTAGGTTGTTCAGCAGTAAAACCATTATCATATTTTGTATTTCATAATCATACAGAAAACTAAAAGCATAGAATCACACAAATTGATGTAATTATTGTATTTGTATTTTTCATTTTCTTTTACTAAGCTACCAAATCAACAACTCCTTCTCGTACTACAAGCAGGCCTTCAGGATCAGACAACAGAAAAGGTAACTTTAATGGAAACGTGTATGCATGGTTCACAGTTTTGTTTATAATTATAAAAAGACAGAAACATTATACCATGCCGAAAGACTTGTGTATTTGTCATATTCAAAGCCGTAACTGCTTTCTTCGGTTTTTCGTTTTATAGTTTAATATTTAAGAATTGAATAGTTTTTTATAATTTTATTGTGGTGTCAAAGCGTTTTTAATCTTATTAAACTATAAAAAGTAGTTCAATTCAATTCATAAAATATAATTTCATTTTAATGCCACAATCATAGAATGTACAGTTATATCAAGATTACCGTTTGTTATTTTTAATGCAGTATTTTAATTTTGTTAAGAATAGCACGTGCTGTCATAGCTGTTTTATTTTATACGGAAATCAAATACCATATTAGAGTGCCTCGCGATAGTTGTTAGCCAATCAAAATAATGGATTGGAATGAAACATGTGTGTAATGTAATTATTGATAAATATAATGTATAAGGATTTTTTTATACGCCCTTATCTTCTTAATAAACATACTATGCAACTGCAAAAATAATAGCACGGTAATTTGTGCAAAGGAATATTTACAGATTATACACTAGTAAAGGAGTTTTAGTCTGAAACGGTCATTTTGATATAACAGGATCTGGGATTATTAGTAGTAAGTTTACCTTCAAATGTGTTTTTATATTATTTGTGTTGCAGTCGCCATTGTGGTTGGTACAGTATGTGGATCAATAATATTGACTCTTTGTGTAATAATATTATCTGTTATACAGAACAAGTATAAGTAAGTAGTTCCTATGTTGTGGTCCGAAACGAAATGAAATTATTAGGTTTACACGGCGTTTAAAAATACCATTGAAAAAATATCTGATATTGTTTGATTTGTTCATTCAATGACGTTTTGCTTTGCAACGTGCATCTAGCTCGTTATAACATCAATAAATGAAATACGGAGTTAAGATATACTCAACAAGAATACCAGACCTACAATTTGTTACACCAGACGCGGGTTTCTATTGCGTAAAGCACATCAGCGGCATTCGAATCAAGACAGTCATTATTTCTACTTATTAGAATGGTGAATGTAAAGAGTGATGACTTCTTACCGTAAAGAAGATGGTATGATAAGGCCACTATTTGGCCCTTTGAATTCGAAAATCAAAAACAAATATATATCTACCAAATAACATTCTTCAGATATCCACGAGACATCGTTGGTTTCTTAGGTTTCAGGACTTCTTTATTTTTTTTTTATGTTTGCTTTGATCTTCTTGCATTACTGCAAAGACTTTTAAAATAGCTTTATTTTTAGAAATTGTCGTTAATATTTAGCGAAGGCTTTACCCAAGATATATTTTGCTTCATGCTGTATTTAACAATGATGTTAATTTGTATAAAATATCTTTTTGATTAAGGCCAAGTTGGTTCATATCTATTTTTACTCAAGAATTATTTGTAAAATGGCCACTTTGTCCAAATATTTCAGTTTCAACATGTTTACGACATCATAGTGACATTACATGTTACCTTTATGCACTAAAGTATCCATAGTATATCTACCTGTTTATTTATAGATAAAAATAGCGAACTGTTAAAGAGCTTGAATACTTTTCCTTTTTTTTTTTATTATATTCAGGCAACAAAAATGGCTCTTATCATGCCTACTTTATGGTATATATCTTGGTGTTAATATTTTGTTTTATTATTCAAAAACAAACTACATATGAATAAGTAAAGCTTGATTATTTTAGCATGCATGCTCAAGGAGAAAGTATTTTCAGAACAGAATAAAGTCTGCATTATTAAATATTCGTTTCATATACAAAATAAATAAACTTCTTTAATTGAATTGAAAATTTGTTTACTTCAAACGTCACGTAGGGAGTGTGGTAAATTACTACCCAAATTAGAATTAATCAACAATAAAAGTCCACGTAATAAAAAGAATAAATCGTGACCGAACAACACTAATAATTAACTTATGAACTACGCGCATTCGTGAAAATAGGTGTTGTTCTGTCACTGGTTGAATATTTTTCTTAACTTGAATTCATGGATTAGTCATTCTATGAAAATTATATTAGTAACATAAATATGTTTTTTATAACATTTACATGTCTTTTAATTAGAAATAGCAATGACAGATCAGCAGATTATGTCAACACGACACAGCAACAACAACTCCCGTTGTATGAAGGAGTCGGTCATACTTTAGATGTACACAACTATGAACAAATCGCTAGGACGGAACATTTGTACCATAATACCAATTTAAGTAATAATTAAACAAAAGGCACTTTGACAGTCGTTTGGTATAATTTTTCAAATAATAATGAGTAATTGCTCTGGAGGAATAAATGATACGTATCATCTGGCGCATGACTGAATATTGAAAAGTTCATATGTGTGTTATATGAGTGTTAACATTTTCTTGTGGCTCTTGCATGTGTGTGTTTGAGTTCCAAGGTGTTTTGAATTCTTCATTAATTATTTGTTTTAATTTTCGTGTATAATGTTTTTATAATAAAATTGAGCAAAAAATCGACCAACTGTTATCTTTGATATATAACATAGAACTGAGATGCTTGAGATGTTGAAAAATGTCTGTTAGTGGTAATGAAGAGTTCGGTAAAGACTTGTATCTCATAAATTCGTAAGATGTGGCGTAAGGACGTTTGGCAAAACCTATACTATTCAAAGCACAGTTTTCATTAAGAAATAGAAATTAAAATGTATAAACAACAACAACAAAACAACAGATAATAATGTACTACCTATACACCTGTCATCATTGTATAATTTTATTTTATATAAAGTATCACTTTTTGTCAATATATTCAATGAAGCATTGGTCAAGGGGGGCGATAATTAAGGGATAAAGGTTACTTGTATTTACTTATATTAAATGAATGGCGATTATCAAATCTAGAACTGTACCCTAACCTAAAGGGCACTATTATGGGTGTACGACAACCTTTGCCAATTCGTACTGAACAAACCTCTGTTAGTAGTGGATCATAACGAACTGTTTGATCTTAAAATGTTTATTCGTGTACCTTAGCTGGTAAAACTTTTAATTTGTAATATTTTAGAGATGAAACATTTACATTTTTGTATGTATTCATTAAATCTGTGATAAACGATAAAGTAATGTCAATGTATTTAGAGGAGAATGAACTAATTATTCTTACATATTACCGGAATTCACTCAAAGTCTTTGTGTGGTTTGCGACACTCAATGTTTATTTGTTTATCATTAAATAGATTTCCTGTTGACCAAGATGGTTCAGTCAGTCTATAAGTCCATCTTTGACCGCCGATTTTGTTCCTAAGACATGTGTACTATGAAATAGACCAAACATGTCCTCGATCGTTCTGCCAACGGTTGTCTGAGGTATAGAAATATTGTAATTCCAAGAATTCTCCCATCCTGCAGTAAAGCAATCGTTATTTTTAAACATTCTTTTTGCAATGTGGGATGCATTAATACGCATACGTGTCATAATATTTGGTTTCATACAGACTTAAGTAATCTAAGATGATTATAATTTGTTTGGAAGTCATGCATCGTAATACAAGAATTCAACTTTTTCCAGTAAAATGGGGAACATTTGGTGGGACAAGTGGCAAATCCAATATTTTACAGCTACTATTGAAAAGGAAAACAATGGTGTTATATTTGGGTACAAGTTACACAAACAGTAAATATCCCAGACATTTTCTTAGGAGTTCGAATCATGAAAAATTGGCACGAATCATTTGCATGCTTGATGTTAATCATAAAGTATTCAAAGTTGTCTATAAAACTATTTATGTTGTCATCATTTCTGTGTAGCTTTGTGATAATTGTTGTTTTTGCGTCTTATTTTCATTTTTTACCTCCGTGTTGTCTGTTTTTCTTCAAATTATTGATTATCTCTACCTTTATTTTATGATATAAATCTCTTTATTATCCGAATAAGTTACTAGTACCTATTCCTATGGTTTACCTTTCGACGAGAAAAAAGCTAATCAAAATCATGAAAATATATACTTTTAACTGTTGACTACCTTGCTTCCTTGCTTTTTTATTATGTTTTGACTTTGAAGAAATGATTTAGCATTGATTAATAAGTCAGGTCCCATCTGTTCAAATATTTAATTCATAATTAAACGTAAAAGGAGACTTTGTATGAAATTAAACTGTCAGTAACATTCTTTAAAAATAATATTTATCTAAACACAAATTGTCCCTTTCAATAATAATCTAAGATAAATTGCAGGAAATACACACAAAAACTGATCATTTGTATTAGTAGAAATCCTTCTAAGTCAGATGAACCGAGATCATTCGCGGATTTATCATGTGCTTGGATGTACAGTTACTCCAATTCCTTTTGAACATTTATAAAATTTCAATTTAATGTAATTTCCTCTCAATAAAACTGTTCTTATTTTTAAAGATCAGGAAGAGGATTGATTAGTCATTTCAAAATGTTAAGTACTAGAATAATTACTGTAATTACAATGGGTTTATGTGTACGACTCTATTTGTTGCATTAGTATTTCGTCCATCACATTAATTTTATTCCAAATTAAAGTTTTTAATTTGACTATGGGAGACAGTTACTCTTCTACATTTATTACAGTTACCTCTACGCTATATACACAAATACTATGGTTAATCAACACGGGCGTAGAATGGACACGTTTTTATGGGGTTTGAACACGTTTGGAGGGACACGATTCTTTGTGTAAAATATATGCTATAAATCTCAGTCGAGAAGTCATCAGAACATCCTAATATATATCACTATAGTTTATGCTGTTTTTTTTTTCAAAATTGTCTCGAGAATAGGAACCCTATTTTCATATCTTATTAGCATTTTGAGGACTGTTATTTGTGTTTTCATCTTTTTGCCATCGCGTTGTCTGCTTTTTCAAAATTATGGGTGTATCTTTCCCCTTTATGTCATGAATGTTCTCAGTACAAATTTGAATAACTTACTTATTTGCACCTGGGATCTGTCGGTGATAAAATAGACCATCAAAATCATGCAAATGCACTTTTAGCTGTTGACTGAACTGTTACTTTTTTTTTCTTGGTATGTTCAGTCTTTATAGAAACTATTTTCCATTAATCTTTATAAATAAAATATATCCATTTTCTTTAGATAAATTGAAAACAATACATTATAAATTTCATGCGTCCGACGCGCTTTTCTGGATTTACCTTCAATAGAAACGCTCAAAGCCGAATATTTCAAAGCCAATGATGTATAACGACCGAAACAACAGACGAGCCATATCTCATTAACAGTTCAATGAAAAAAAGAGACTGTTGCAAATTTTAAATGTTAGTGACGGTGTGTATAAAGAATACCTGAGTGTATGAATAGAAATCGTCTCTCTCAAACATTTATAAAAATACTTATGTGCTAAAATTAAGTGCAGAACATTGAAATATATTATTTGTAATTTATATAGCGTACTTTCCTCTGGGTCAAATGTACTGAGATAATTCGGGATTTCCTATAGTTGTGTACATATAGGCCGTTTCCTTTTATAAATTTGGTATTTTTCATTCAATTTAATTTCCGCGATATAAATCCGGTCTATTTTAATATTAACAGAAAGAGTGCTGGTTCGTCATTTTCAAATTTGAAGTATTAAAGTTATTACTACAATGTGTTTTATTGTAGTAGCCCGGAAGATTACGTCAATATTCAGAAAAATCGTTCAGTTTGTTGTACACGCATCAAAATTTGCATTAGAAATCCCATTAGGATACTTGTTTGATAAAACCCGTTAGCATCCTGATTTAGAAAAAAAACTTAATATAAAAGTAGTCTTAGTAGTTCCATTTTAATGGGTTTTTATTTCAAATAGTACCTTTGCTTTTACACATAACCCAAACACTATATAATATTTAATCATTTTAGACAGTTTCCATTATCATTTACCGATAGACACATCTTCCTCCGCTTCATTTGTTATTGTAAACATGTGAATTTGCAGATATTTTCTATATAACTGTTTTATTTGTCACAAACTTACTGTTCACAATTCATAAGGCAATACAATTTGAAATTGTATAAGTTCAAGATTTATTTCATTAAATTTTGCCAGGTAAACGTCATTAACAAACCAGCGTTTAGGTTAAGGTGACAAGAGGATAGAATGGTTATAGCAGTCTTTTGAAATTGTGAAGATAAATATTATAAGGATGTCATGTGTGACCCCATTGAAATCCAAATATCAAACTGATTGGAACAAATGTTGAAAGTGTCAGACAGATAAAAAAGGGGAATATCAGGGAATAGAGGTCAGTTATAAGTATGATAGACGATAGACAAAACAAGGTTAGAAGAACCAGCATTGAATGTCGTGTGTGTTTTTTCTGTGATAAGGAAAAACCAACATCTGAATTGCGACAAGCCATGACAAAAAAAGTTTAACTAAATGTGCTAAAAACCTTAATGATGGAAAGCTTCTGACTGTACTTAGTGAAGGAGATGTTGTTGCACAAGAGCTGAAGTATCACTATTCTTGTCTGAAAGCTCTGTACAACAGCGAGAAGGCTTACCAATTAACAATTGAAAATCAGAACGTCAGAGAACTGTCTAAAGAAAGGGAAGTATATCTACGTGAGTATTCAGAGTTAATCACCTAAATAGTGGAGACAAAAACAAGTAGTGATAATCCTGCTGTATTCTGTCTTGCAGATCTAGCCAGTCTCTACAAAATAAGAAATGAAAACACCTGATGTTAACTCCACCAGATTAAAGGAAAAATTGCTCGCAAAAATTCCTTGAAGCTCTTAAGAAGGGATGGGATTTTCTTCTATCTTTCAAAAAGGATATTTGGGCGGCCTTGTCACAAGGATCCAACTATTCAGAAGCTTTTATCCTTGCCAAAGCTGCCAAGATCTTGCGTGGATTCATGATTGACCCCAAGCCAGGATTTACTGGAACATTTCATGAAGGATGTGTTGAAAGTGCAATTCCCTCCACACTTCTTTCGTTTGTGTGCATGATTGAGCATGGTGCTAATATAAAGTCACAATTACGCTTTGGTGCATTCAAGACCGATCAAACAATGGCTCAACTTTTACAATATAATTGCTATGCTAAGTACAGAGAAAGGGCAGAAACTCACAGGCATTCAAAAGACCACGAAACCCTATTTGCTGTGTTTTTGGGCATGTCTGTCTATGCCAATACTAGAAAAAGACTCCTTGTTTAAATGCTTCATGAACATTGCCTTAGCATTCAATATGATCGGATGTTTGAAGTGTCAGCACAACTTGGAAATGCGTCAGTAAGTAAATACATGGATGAAAGAGTAGTTTGCCCGACAGACATGAGGAAAGGGTTGTTTGCCACAGCTACTATGGACAATATAGACCATAATCCTACTGCAACGACAGCAACAACTTCTTTTCATTGAACAATCATTTCACTCTTCCAGCATTCATCAGCTGACAATGCAGATGAATAGCGTGAGTCAATTCATATTAAAGGACACCGGCCACTTCCAACAATCATTTGTGAAAAAAACCGTAATGGAATAATAAAAATAGAGAAAAATGGACAAAAATAATAAAGAACAGAGAAAAATTTTCCAAAATAATAAAGAATAGAGAATAAGAAGGTGCTTAATATACAGAATAGAGAATAATGGGCAAAAAGTATACAGAATAGAGAACATTGGCCCAAAAAATTAAAGATTACAGAAATGAAGGACCCCATCCAGACCCTCGTGTAGTGTGACAAACTGGATTACATGCATCAATGGAACTATATTCATGTATGCCATTGGATGGGTCGAATTGGTGGATTCACCGTATGAACCTTTGTATTTA